TTGGTGCTTGGCTGTCCAGCCGTTGCTCTCCCTTTCTCTCTCTCTCTCTCTCTCTCTGGGAAGCTTCCGCGATCGTCTGCCTAAGCAGCACTCAATGACAGGCGTTACAAACGGCGGCAAGTTAATGACCCATGCGCAACGGATCACCCAGCAATTGGAATTGTCTTTGTTTCGCTGCTTTCTAAATGGAAAACAAATAAAAAAAAAAAATATTTAAAAAAGAGGCATGCGAGGGCCACCAGTAGAGCTCATAAAAAATTAATACAAATTACATGAAATGCAACCAGAGAGCAAACGAAAGATCGGGCAAGCCAATCGGTAGATAAACAGAGCATGAATGAGACGGTGCTGAGGTATTTGGAATGTTGCTCGTTGGTAAAGCCGCGACTTATAAAGCCTCAAGAGTTTTGCTGATACGCCCACTAGATGAGAAATATTACATATTATATTTGAAGTAAGTGAAATTATATTATTAGAGAAGAACATGCTCGTATAGACAACATAAGATCGGTAGATGTGATTGAATAAATCAGTTAAAATCGAAATTGTCTAATTGATTAAGTAAATGTTTTCTAAGGTTCTCTATTCAGTTCAGTCAGCTTTGTTTTAGACTATATAATTTATAAGCTTTAACTAGGGAATGGGCCTGCATATATGTAAAATCTAAAATTTGACTAATGCTAGGTGTAAAAGATGTTTTTGCATTCTGAGCGCGAATCGTGCGATCTTTCTGGTTCTATTGCAACATTCTCAATTTTTATATTCTGAAAAGCGCCCTGATGTATTCAAATTAAAAACAAGAAAGTATGATATTGACAAAGGCAAAGAGAGCGATGGAATGAGAGGGAGATTGTGAGAGAGGACGAGTAAGACAATGAGAGATAATGAAAGAAAGACAGAGAGAGTAAGAAATTTTAAGGAGAACTTTGTACTATTTTTAGCTGTAGCTAAGCAAACGAGTTGAGTTAAGCAGACAACAAGAAATTTAGAGAGAGCAAAGCAGACACAAAAATCAAGTTTAATATTACGCAAATCACATTGTGAGTATTACTCATTAGCACATACTATGACGAGCCGTATATACGTACGAGTGACGTAGCTATCGGCGCATACTCTCATCTTCTACACTTTTCTTTGAGGCAGTCCCAAACGAAAATCCAAACAAAGAAGCGCGTCACGGCATCAAACTGGTGAAATACTATAAATTTCTGGATCGCCAGTCAAGCCCCATTTGATTGCTGGGAAACTTTCATGAAACTTCGATTGATCATGTGGGTGATATAACATGCAGATTGAAAACTCAATTAAAAGCTAATTTGACATGAATAAAGTGAATTCTTTCCACAAATTTCAACAAATTGTATTTCCATGCAATTAGATATGCAAATTGATGGCGACAACAATGCCATCAATACATTTATTTTTATATGTACATATATCTAAACAACCCCAGAAATGCTTGACACACGTCGCTCAGCATTAGCTTCAAAAATTTCAATAAAATATTGCAATAATTACCCGCATCAGCAGGAAAGAAAGTTGATTGTAAAGATTTCGAGAGTTCAAAAAAGACTTATCATGTAATCCTTTAAGAAAACAAGGCAAGGCAAGGCAACCCAATTTATGGCTCATTGAACAATTCTCAATGGGAACTCTTATCTCAATAAACACATATTTATTCAATCTAGCTAAGGCAAAATCACTAATTGGCTCAATTAGAGCTAGCCTAATGCGTAAATTACCGACGGCAAATCGGGCTGAGAGTTGAATATTTTCTTTTGGCCAGCAGAGACTCCACCCAGAAGCGCTGATTCATAAAAATAACACAGCCACAAAATAAAGGTAGCCCATTAAATAAGGTTTCGGCCAAAGCTCCGCCCAGAGCACAAAAACGAAGAGGACAACTGAAAAAAAATGAGGCAGCTCAAAATACCAAAACCCAAAACAGAAGCAGACCAAAAATCCAACTTCAGTCGGTTGGCTCAATGCGCGGCCGAAAGCGAAACAGAGAATGTTATTGCGGCTTCTTTCTGGTGTGTGTGTGGAATACTATGTTAGGGAAATAAGCCACGCCTTTACGATTTATGTTGCCGGCGCGAACCCGGAAAAGCAAGAAGCGAAGAAAAAACCAACTATGCAGCGACTTTGTTGGGCAAACTGTGTTAGAGCAGTGCAAAAGAACACACAGACAGAAAGAGAGATACACACGCACACACACACACAGAGTCAGGGCAGGCGAGTAGTTCTTGTAACAATAGAAGGTCTAGAGCAACCCCTAAGTGGAAGTTGTGTAACAGCAGAGACTTGAGACGAACTGCTGCTCGAAAGGCTAACACCAAAAGTACAGACGACGACGACGACGAGTTTGTGGGTGGAGTTAGAGAGCCCATTCAGTTGGCCAGCTCAACTTGTGGCCAAGAACAATCGAATCTGTTTGGCCCTCGATTGCAGCAACTGAATTTCATCATTTGGAAAGTTGTTTACAAGAAGAAAAATCTTGTTCCATCGTATTAATCATTTAATTGATCATAATAAGTCTTGCCTTTGTTGCATGAATAATTTGGACTACATTCACAGAGCTGACTAATGAATAAATTTCATGAAATGTTTTTGATTTGAAATGCGATTTTATATCAAGTATTTAAATATTTTACAAAGCAGCAATTTAGAAAAGTTTGAGTAAAAACATTCAATGGAGTATTAAAATTTAATTTAATTTTTAATTTTTTAATTTAATTTTTAAAAATATTGTATTAATTTATATTTGTTTTTCTTTTTATTAAATTAATTCTGATAGAATTAAAAAAATATATATATTTATTAGAATAAATTTAAAAATACAATATATTTTATGTATGAAATATTCAAGTATTTATTCAGTTAATTCTGATAGAATTAAAAAAAAAATATATATATATATATATATTTATTAGAATAAATTTAAAAATCCAATATTCAAGTAAATATCTTTGAGTAATCAAGTAAAACTATTTATAAAATTTATATAAATTTTCAAATAAACAAGTATACATATAACTAAATAACAATACAAATAAAAATACTAAGAAATACAAAATACATATATTTTATATACAAGTATATACATATATTTTATTTCAAGTATACACATTTAATCAAAAATATCAAAGATAATCCAAATTTTATAAATATGCAATGAAAACATACATTTAAAAATAATTCAATAAATAAATCTAGCTCAATGTATTGACTTATTGACTTAAATGTATATATTTAAGAAACAATTTAAATAAATCTCTGTAAAAAAATATTTAAACATAATAAATATTCAAATATACATTCACAATATATATGTATTCATACATATATAAATCCAAGTAGCAAAAAAAAATATCGATAAAAAGTATATGCAGAAGCCCATATATACATAGCTGTATAAATTCATCTATTCAGCTGCGGTTCTAGAAATAGTAGCGTGACGAAGCACTAAATATTGTGCAAACAAAGTTTGCATAAAAATAAAATTCTTTAATTCTCAATGAACAAATCGTTCACAAAATATTCAAGAAGAGTCCCACTACTATATACATATATACTATATGTAGTATATACTATATATAGTATATACTATATATTTACTGCTACTCTTTATAAAATTATGAATGAAAAGCGTTCAAGAAGAAGAATGAGTTCATATGAAATTTCGGATATATATAATATGTACATATATCGCATTCGTTTAGTGTCTGGAATTGCAATATGCATAATACTATAATAATTCCCAGATCGTTTCGGTCTAATGAGTACGATATTTGTGAAAATTATAAACAAAAGATGACAAGCCCATTGTTGTGTGTGTGTATGTGTGTGTAAATCTATAAAGAATTCGTGACAGAATTTCATTACCTATATTACTTAGCTACTATATTATAGATACATATACATATGTATTGTATATAGGTACATGTCTGTGGCTACTGAAGTCGGAAGTCGGGAAAAACATTTGTAAAACACTTTCATAGAAATGTGCTGATAAAGACCTGGCTAAAAGGCTCGTCATATTCATGCGCTGACAGCTCATCAAAAATGTGAACTTGATGCATGGGCATATGCCTGTGAGTGTGTGTGTGTGTGTGTGGGTGTATGTATTTGTAGCAAATTAATAATTACTTATGTATATGAAAGCACATTTATCTGGGTTTTTTACTTGGCATACGAACTTGCCCACTTGCCCACAATTTTTTCCAACTCTTACTTTCTCTCTCCTTCACATACACACACTCTCTCTCTCTCTCTCCCTCTCTCTGTCGCTGTCAGCTCCTGTTTTGCCTTCTAGACGTTGCGTTGAATATGTTTGTCATGCGACGACGATTTAATACAATTAATATGCTAACTGTACTTCTCGCCGCATACAGTTACAACAAAGGCGCGACGGCGACGCCACACACACACACACATACACATACACAGCGAGAGACACGCTTGGCAACAGGCGCAAGGTGGCCGCCCCGCCCACGCCCACTTTTCAGATGCAGCCGCTCAACCTGGCAACAAATACCACAAAAAAATGTACGAATGAGGCGATGTCAACAAAAATACCAAAACAAAAAAAAATGCTTCTATAGCGAGCGAACGTCGACGGTCGACGAGCGAGAACGATGAGAGAGACGAACGCTGAGCAGCGGCGTCGACTGCGACCGCGACCGCGACTGCGAGAGCGAGAGCGAGGCATATAAAAGAGCCTGCATTGCGCTCACGCCAGCCAGTTTCAAATCAAGCAAAGTAGTGAGCGGACGCCGAGTCAAGCAGAGCAGCAGCAGCGAAGCAAAACAAAGTGAACGAACCGTCAAACACACAGACACACACATACAAAGATACATTATATTGACTTGTGCGTAAATGCGAACAACATCAACAACAACAACAACAAAGCATTTGTGTAGTTAATTTATTCATTGTGTGCCTCGCGTGTATCTGCAAAGAGAAAGTCTTGAGTCAGACGCAGAAAAGAAAGATATTTATTAATTACGAACAATTGTGCAATTGGGGAAACAAAGAACACACAAAGTTTTCCTTGAAAACCACACAACAACAACTAGAAGCGTAGCAACAACAACAACAGCTGCAAAATGGCTGTGGCCTTCTACATACCGGATCAGAAGGAAATGCTGCGCAAGGCGCGCGAACAGGAGAAACAGCTGTTGCGTCTACGTCAATGGCAAATGGCAACAGTTGTATTGAACACGATACGCCAGCTAATGGACTCCACGGCCAGTGAGTGTGTGCAGCGAGCGGGACGCAAGTGTGGCAAGTGGCGCAAACCATCGCAATGAAAAGCGCAGAGCTGAGTAAACAACAACAACAAGAACAACAACAGTTACTACTACTTCTACTACAACAACAACAAGTCTGTCAAGAGCCAAATCCGTGGACTATATTAGTCTTAACTGATGGGCTTAAACGCCGACGGCATCAACAACAACACCAACAGCAGCAGCAGCAGCAACAACAACAACATTTTGATCCCCCCGAAATTCTTCCTGCTTCTAAGTTTACTCATCAAAGCGATTGTGATAATGGTTTTGTTTCTACACACCAACAACAACAACAACAAAAACTATATATATTTAAATATATGTATGTCAAGCGAAACAAGTTTTCGAGTTAGCAATATTTGATTTAATTGTAACAACAACAAAAATATATGTCTTTTAGTTTGTAAGCGTCCTGCTAAACGATTTTGTAAAAACTGACGAAGCGGAAGTTTTTTTACGAAAGTCCGCATAATATTTATAAGGTTTGCCTAAGAAAATTGTATCAATTTTTTTAACAAGCCAGAAACGAAAAAAAAAGAAAGCGAAATAAAAAAAAAAAGAAAAAAAAATGTTAAATGATTTTTTATTTATTTATTGTCTACAAATTTTCAGCGGGTGACAAGAAAAATGAAATTTTTGTCTATATTTTCGACAGAAAAAAAAATCAGAATATTGATCCAGAAAATATATACTTATTTTCCCAGATATTTGGCAGTAAATAATAAATTTGCAATATACAAAAATAATAATAATTACAATAAATAAAATTAAATTTTCAAATAAGTAACAGAAGCAATTTCTTTGCATTTTTTTTTTAATTTTTTACCATTAATATAAAATATTTTTATTTATATAATGTCTACCAGATATTAAAGATATACTTATTTATTTAGTCTCCATATTTTTGGCAAAACCATTAATTTATCAATATCGGAAATATATAAATCAGACGTAAACGGAAGTAAAATAAATTCAAAAGAGACAAATCGCATATATATAGCTGGATATATATCTATAGCTACATATATCTATATCTATACACTTCATGAATGCATATAATGTATAAAACTGTTTCAGATTTTACGGAAGACTCGTCTGATCCGTTCAGATCTTCTAGAATCTGCTTTTAATCTTTTAGAACAAAGGAAATATCTCTTGGTTCGTCAACTGCCGACGGCTTTTAATCAAATTGAATTTTATTGCCACCGACGGCTTTTAAGTTGACTGAAACATGTTTGCATTTACATTATTTTTGAATAAATATACTATTTATAGTGTAAAAAAATATAATAACAAGCAGGAAGCACAATTTTCTAGTCTTAGGGTTGATGATTAAAATTAGCAAAAATCTTATCATATCCTAATGAGAGAAATTCATAGATTTCTTATCAATTGAGACTATTTCAAGTTTACAACATTTTTCCAATTATTATGCTCTTATTCAAATAAAAAAATCTTTGAAAATATATTAATTAATAATATATAATATATATAAATATTAATAAATTAATCGTTGAAATATATATTAATATCTTGATTTATAACTTGATTCAGGTGAAGATAGGAAACAAGACAGTTGGAATAATATATAGACACACAAATATTATATCTGCTAAAAGTTCAAACTTTCTAAACTTTTAACAGGTATTCTCGTTGAATAAGGTATAAGATATTCTATGGAAGATCTAATAAAAACTGATGGATCTAAATACAAAATCATACATTACATACGATCATACATTCATATGTCATATTTTCCATATTCTAAATTTTTTTTAGCATATTAAAACTTTTTCTTCACATAATTTAAAGAAAACCCTAACAGAAATATTCAATTAATTCAACGCACATTTAAAATTTAATGTAAACCCTTTGTATATAATATCAACTGTTAGTTTTGCATATTCACAAAAGTTTTTTTGCCAAAAGTTTTCCACTTGCCGTTGCTAACAGGAAAATCGCTCGCAGCAAAGTTGCCAAGTTAACCAAAAAAAAAAAAAAAAGAAAAATTTGTGGAAAATTCAATTATGCAAAAATACAGAGAAACATTTTGAGCTCGGAAAACTTGGCTCCCTGGTTGATAATGTCAAAAAATTAGGTGCTAACAAAACAATTTGCATGTTTAAGCTGATTTTTCTACTTCAGCTTCAGCTTCTTCTTCTTCTTCTTCTTCATGTTCATCTGAAAACTTATGGAAAATAGCGCGCGCGCTGGCAATTCAAAGGGGGCTCATCATAAGCGCCATTTGGGCGGCGCCAGAGCCTCAGGACTCCCTAGAACAGCCAAGACGACTTTTAATTAAACTTTTGCACTTATGCAGCTGCAATCAGCAGTGCAGCAGGAGCAGCACCAGGAGCCGGAGCTGCAGCAGGAGTACGAACGTCCTGCGTCCTATGAGTTCAATTCAGTTTGATTGGCAAACATTTTTGTTAATAAAAAGTTCACAGCGCGCGAGCAGAAAAAATCAAAAATTTCACTTTGGCCAAAAACAAAAACTAATTAACGTTCAACAGATAAAGTGTTTGGTGGGCGGCGGGCAGGGTGGGTGTGGCATATGAAAAATAATTGAGACAAGTTTATATGATTATGTTTTCGCTGCTGCCGCCGCTGCTGCTGCTGCTCGTCGAGCCACACGCAATAAAAACTTTTGCCATGTCGAGCGATTTGTAAGTCAGAAAGCTGTAAAAATCACAGACAGAAAAACAGTTAACACAAATGTTAGCCAAGAAAAGCGAGAACTTCTTCTGAGCGGCTAATTAGTTGGCAAAACGTTTCTAATTTGGCTGCCAACTTGAGTGAACTTCCATCGAAGGAAATTCGCTGAGCGTTTTCAGCACAAATAAAATCTTGCCCAACCCTTCGGAATTCTGGGTTCAAAATCTGAGAATTCCTTTAGCTTCACATAACTCTCTCCCATTTTTGCCATTTTTGATGGTAGCCGAAAAGAATTATAGGTTTTAGGTAGCAAAAATGAGACAAACAAAACTGAAAACATTTCTGAGACCCAAAGCAAACGAAGGTCACGTGATATTTCTGCAGGGTAGAAGCGAATATACTTAAAATAATGAAACAGGGTATATTAGACTATAAGTAATAAATGAACTAGTCAAAATATATAAATAAATAAGCACTTTACATATATAAATATATGTATATATGTCTTAAAACATAATGATTTCTTTAATAATAACAAAAATTCCATAATACGATTTCTTTATTTATTTATGGAACCCAAAAAAACTTGCCAAATTGAGTTAAGCCAAATCAGTCAACAAAACTAATGGAAACTTAATAACATTATCTAATAAAATGCATTTGTGAACGAATTATGAGTGGGGACCCAGAGAAAAGCCATTTATAGGGTGTGCGAATAAGTCAATTGGAAAAATTGTTCACATTTCCCGCTCCAATTGTTGTGGGTTTTACGACAGCTGTACAAGGCAGAGAAGTAAACTAAGATAATTTGAGAGTAAATGCGATTAGAATGCGAGTTTCGATATAAACGAGCATTGATAAGGACAACGATATTATTAAAATATATATTTATTACAGAAAAAAAAAATTAAAATAAGAATAAATAAATAAAAACCAATAAAATGTAATTGTAAAATAATTAATTAATTAAAAAAAAAAGAATAAAATAAAGTAAATAAAACACATAAAAAAACAAATACAATTTTTTTTAAATAAATGAATTTATAAATTTAAGTAAATATTTATAACAATAAAAAAAATGGAAAAAATAGTTAAAAACGAAGAAAACAAATGCATATATTAATAAATATAAAATAATAATCTTAGAAAGACAAAAATTAATTATCTTTATTAAAAATTATTTTAAAACTCACAAAAAACCTACCTATTTTTGTATGATATAAATATATTCATTCAACATTTAAGTATGGCCAATTGACATATTTGCGCCGAAGTGGGCGCATGCAATTAGAACATTAGCATTCTTGACTTATTTTGACTTATTAAAATTGATGGAAATTTGCCATTTGAAAAACCAGCCCAAAAAGTAATCAAAAAACCACTCGAAAACCCTCAAGAGAACATAAAAAAAGAAGAAAAACCATATAACAGCATCATTTATAAGCCGCGACAAGCAGTTCCTAAGCGAAACATTTAAAAATACCATTTTGATTGATGATGTCGACGAATGTTGACGTGCTAGTCGAGAAGTCTGTCTATATAGATATAGATATAGAGCAGCAGAAAGGACACGCACAGGAAAACGGAAATGAAAAAAATGAGGGAAAAGTACATTAATTATTGAAATGTCATTAAAGGAATAACGAATAACGAAGCTGACAACGCGCAGATTCGCATGAATATTTAACAAGGAATACGAAACAAATAACGAGAGAGCCCCCAATGAAATTATGACTGGAGCAATACGATGCGTGACCGCACAAGTCAGGATATTGATACAGCCAGGACGAATGACGCATTATGAACTGGAGTCGAGTTGAGTTCTTGAGGTGCACAAATCACGCAAGTTTGCTCTGAAAAGATGATGGAAGACATTTGTTCAGTAGGTTGGGTTGCTCTTCCACTCTGCCCATTCCTGATTAAGAGCATATTAATTGCAGGGTGGAAAATGCATAAGCCCAAAAATAGGAAGCACTCGGCCATTCATCATTTGCTCTGGCAGCGTTAAATGAGCACACACGCAGCCATCAGTTGAGCATTTAATTAGTTCGCTCAGCTCATGTTGCCACAGATAATAGTCCTTAAAGGCATTAAAGTCATCATCTCAACTGGACAAATCAAACAACATGTTGCCAAAAGTGAATTATGGCAGTTTTTGGCAAATATTTAAGCGTTAATTTCGAAATTTGTAATAGAAAATGCCACACCCATCAAAGTGAGCAGCTAAATAGACGGGCAATTAAATGATAGAATATAGTATGCCCTATATATCCAGATAAACTGAGTATTATATATGTATGTATATATATAATTTTAAGGTGAACATAAATTAATAATATGTACTGTGTATTTAGAAAGTGTATATTTAATTAATATTTATAAAATCATGCAAGTTTTTACTTCAGTGTTTTCATATGTTAAATGTTGCATGATAAAATTATAGCGCCCGCCACAGGATTGGTCCCATGTAAATGAATACAAAATGTCTACTCACTTGCTGTCTCGCTCACCCTCTCTTGGATTTGCCTAAAATTTGATTTTCAATACACACGCGCAGCGAACGAGCGATCGAAGGAGTTAAAGCACACACACTAAGGCTCTCTCCTTCACACTTACGCTAAGCAGGCAGAGACACTAATGCAACAACAGCTACGTAATTTATTGCTCTCTTACAATCCACAGATTAGCATCCACAATACTCACTCTTACTCTCTGTCTTTCCTGCAGAGCATACCCTAGCGTATTTCAATGCCGTTAGGGTATATCGAGCGACGCAGATCAACCAAATTGAAGGTGT